ACACCAAACAAACAAACAAAAAAATCAGTTTATGGTGGGGGAAGGGCAGAGTGGTAGAATAAAGCTCACTGCTCTGAACAGTGAAGACCTACTTATTCAAATATGTATTTATTGACTTGCTCTAGTTTCTCTCTCATCTTCCACAACACCATCCAGTCTGATAGTATTGACTGACCTAATAAAAAAAGATTTTTGCTTCATCCACTGAGGTTCTGGGTTTGGAAGTTATTTTCTCTTTTCTCCTTAATTCTCGCCAAACCACAAACAACTACCCTCCAAGAGGGTCTGTTTTTGCTTGTTTTGGAGCTGCACACTTATAAAAATATTTGATTCTGGTCTCCTACCCTACTTTAGACCCAGAGCTCATAGCCAAGTGCAGAATAATCTGGAAGGGATGGTGGGCTGAAAATATGTACCTTGGCTATGTGTTCCCTACTGAGCAGCTGACAACATTCCTTATAAAAGATATGAACAAATGTCAGTCTCCTGGTCCATTTGGGACCAGGCTCTCCTCCCGGATAGTTTGTGATACCTCTGCATGCATGAAGATCTCCCAAGAGAAGGGAGCCCTTTTATCCTTGAGCTGAGCAGAAGATAGCACTGGGGTCCTGAAATTGTCACAATTCACTTTGAATGGTGTCAATGGGAGAAACACACACACACACACACACACACAAAACCCCACATTTTTAGTTTAAAAACAAGTTTCAGGAATGACTTTTGTTGGAACTGGCCAAGTGACAGATGAGAAAGTTGTTTTACTAGCACTATGTCACATGGGAAGTAGAGATGTTAAAAAAATACCATGTGTCTTTCATAAAGCATTCAACAGTGCATGGTACAATGCACATAACACATATATACATAAACCAACTACACATAATTAGTAATCATTATAATCTAGTGTTTATAGCTCACAAAGTATTTTTACATTATCTTATTTAATCTTCACAACAAACCCCAGAGGGAATTTCTTATTAGATCATACTAGTAGAGAGACAATGGCATAGAGCTGGGTTCTGGTGACAGATGTGGGGTTCCAAGAATTCAAGTGGTCATAAGATTTAGCTGTCATCGGGAAGATAATTTAAGAACTGACAAGCACAGTATCTGGTTTTAGGTGTTCAGCTTATTGCCTTGAGCAAGTGTCCTTATTACTTTTTATTTCAGTTTCCACATTCTGGTTTTCTTATTTCCACTGCTAATGGGCTTTAGGAGCAGACCTGGGTTCAAGGAGAAACAATGCTTTTGAGTTGGTGGTAAAATGTGAGCTCCTCCATTAAGGGCAACTGAGACTACTTATTTGGTCAGAACCTTGGTCTTTGAGGAAATGCTCGTGTCCAGCTGGACAGGACCTGAGCTCCTGAGCTGCCCTAAAATGATGCCACTCAACACCAAGAATGACAATGTGAATATTACCTGGAAAGTAACTATAGCCCTAATGTGATCTGTAATATAATATGACGGCAAAGATAGCCAATTCAATCTCGTCCATTTAAAAACAATTATAAAAGATTATAGGAGACAATCTAACTGTATTCTGCTTGATCAGATCACATCTGGAATTCACTGTTCATTGGCATATTTAATTTCAAGACAGTCATTGACAAACTGGCAGCCCTCAGAAGAGAACAATCAGGACTGTGTAGTGCCCTAAGTTTTCAAATGCTCTGCTACATTTATTCCTCCCACAAGATGATGGGATAGATTACTCTGCACTGGTGACTTGGTTTTAAAAAGTTCCTGTCCTGTATTTTTTTTGTTCTACTTAATACCATTGGTTGATCTCTTTAATTAACACACAATTATTCTTAGGCATTTAAATTTAACTGAAAAGTGATCGCTGTTAAATATAAGAGTGGGAATAAGAGAGGGAGGAGATGTACAGTTTGGCACATGCTCACTAGGACTTACCCTTAATGGTTGAGCTAGAAACGTGCCATGGTATACCAAATCCCATTAGTTGCCATGTACCAATGCCATCTTACTAGTCAAAGTGATCAGTTTAAGTTCCTAATTGATCATAATGATAGGATTAAGTGTCAAAGGGATCACATAAACAAGACTAGTGTTTGTTAATACTGATAGAATTAAAAAGGAGAGAATGATCCAACATGGGAAGTGGGATACACAGCAACTCATAGAATGGCAGATGTCCTAAATAGCACTCTGGCCTCAGAATCAGCTCTTAAGGCATTTGGATCTGGCTAAAAAGCCCATGAGCATATTTCAGACATGGAAAGCCAAGACACTGTGGCAAAAAAATAAAAATAAAAAGTGACCTAAATAAAGGATCTCTGTGAGTGAGATCCCAGCGGAAAGAACAGGCCATCAAAGAAGGAGGTACCTTTCTCTGAAGGGAGGAGAGAACTTCCACTTTGACTATGGCCTTGTCTAAATAAGATCAGAGTTGGTGAACTCAAAAGGCTTCCATAGCCTTGGCAGCTCATGATAAGAGCCTCAGGTGATTATTGACGTCATAAATAAGAGTGTCAATTGTTAAATTAACAACAGGAGTCACTGTGCACTTACTCCCTATGTAGGAGTCTGTCCTTAATGTCTTGTACTATGCGAATTAACGGTAAAACTACTACTCAAACAGTACTCTATACTTTGTGTGTCTGTGTGGTGCAGTCTGTTGAAATCTTTACTTAGTATATACTAAGTTGATTTTCTGTATATAAAGATAAATGGATCTTGATGAAGAATGGGATGGGAGAGGGAGTGGGAGATGGGATGGTTGTGGGTGGGAGGGAGTTTATGGGGGGAAAAGCCGCTATAATCCAAATATTGTACTTTGGAAATTTATATTTATTAAATAAAAGTTGGAAAAAGAAGTTCCTGTCCTGTTTCCCTTTCTAAATATTTAATAATCTAAGGTCTATCCAAGCACAAGCAGAAGAGTGTAAATGTCTACTAAAAAAGTGAATTTTGCTCCCAAAATTTGTAAGGAAAAAGACCTGAAGTTGGCACTGTGGCATAGCAGGTTAAGCCAGCTGGCAGCGCTGGCATCCCATATGCATGCAGGATTGAGCCCTGGCTGCTCCACTTCCGATCCAGCTGCCTGTTGATGGCCTGGGAAAGCAATATAAGATGGCCTAAGTGCTTGGGCCCTGCACCCCTGAGGGAGGCCCAGAGAAGGCTTCTGGTTTCCTATCAGCCTAGCTCTAGCCATTGAGCATATTTGGGGAGTGAACCAGCAGATGAAAGACCTCTCTGTCTCTCCCTTTCTGTGCCTGTAACTCTACAGACAATAAATATAAATAAACCTTAAAAAAATAAAATTTATATGGAGGCTAGTACTAGGAACTTAGATATGTGTAATAAAACCATGAAAAAGCTGTTGCATGAACTTCCCAATAACAAGAGAAAATTGAGTGAGGCCTAGATGATCATTTGTCAGAGATTTAGTTAAGTCTACCAATAGTTACTAAGTACTTGCTATGTGATAGCCACCAAGTGTCACAGGTAGAATCAAAGATGAATAAATTCTAGTTCTTGCCTTAAACGCATGCAGGGTAGGAGGAAAGCCTATGTAAACGGATACATGCATCAACAGGGCTATACACAAGGCACAGAGGTAGACCCGTGGGTTTGAAGAATGAGTAAGAATTTGTGAGGAGTAGGACAGGCAAAAGGAATACATGTCGTGTGTTTGTGATCTTACCAGTATTAGGTACTGCTGTGGAAGTGTGTCTCAGGTACAAGAGACGGATGCTTCAGAATTTAACAAGAGTTGAAAATTCAACCTTTAAGACCTTTCACAGCCTCTAATAAGATTGTACAATCTCTGGCGATTCTCTGGAAAGTCCAGCTCAAGCCAACTGCTTTAATAAAATCATGCTCAGTTCTGTACAAATGGAATATTAAAACATCCCAGAAAAATGAGAGACTTTGCAGTTTGTAAGGTGTGCTATAGTCTTAGAAATCACTCGTTTATGCAACATCTAGAAATCATCAGATAAGAAAAATTAACAGTGTTAACCCACAAATCAAATCTATTTTTCCTAGTGGTATGCTTAAATTCTGGACTCCTAATCAGAATTTTTAAGAAGCCTCTTACAATAATAAAACTTAAGCCAATTCTGTCAATAACTCTTCCCTTACCTTGCTTTACTTTTCTTCATAGCATCTATAACTTTATTGTCCCTTGTGTCCCACTGCAAGCTCCTTGAGGACAGAAAATGTCTGTCTTGTTCACTGTTGTATTTTCAAGCCTGTAACAGTCACTATTATGTTAGAGCTTTCATTTCATGTACTGAATGAATGAATGAGTTTTTAGCTGAAGGGCTCACTGTACAATATGTGCATTAGATACATACTTTGTTGTGATTCAGCTGCCATGTCTGTTCTACCTAAGCAGGCTTTGTAATTCTGCCCTTCTTACCATGTAGATGAATCATGGCTTTGTAACTTTCAAAACACTTGACAAAAATAAAATCCCACGACTAATGAAAAGTAAAGATTTTGGGAAGAAGATTATTAATAAATTTCAATGGTAGAAGGAATAAGGGGAAACTGTGTGCCAAGTACTTCTCTGGTTCCTTAACTCAGCCTGTAGGCTCTCTACACCTGGATCAAACAGAATTATCCTTTCATTTTCAATGGTATTCACAGATACAAAACTCATTAAAAAATGTGTGTATCACCTCCATGGACCTGGACAGTAAAATAGTGTCAAAATGCTAGAGCATGGTTCTTTCTCATTCTATACCCAGTATCTATAGGGAGATGTTGAGTTTACTGTGCCAGATATTGGGGATACCCCCCTAATCGGCTTTTCACACTCTGGAACGTCTGGAAGGGCCCCGAGGAGTGGCTGACCTTTGTGACCAGACTGACCCTTCTGAGGCTATGATGAGGCAACAAAACTCCTGGTGTGATGATCTAAAGATTACTGAAAATGGGCACTCTCTCCTCTTTTGATTCCATTCTTCATTATCAGTGCTACTGTCAACCCTTAACTTGGAACTTAATTTAGAAGTCAATCAAGAACTTCATTATGTTTAAAAATTAATTTATTTGAGAGGTAGTAGAGACAAAGAGATAGAAATCAGAGAAATCTCCCATTACTACTTCACTCCCCAAATGAAGCAGGAACCCGTAAAGAACTCAATCCATTTTCCACGTGGCTGTCAGCAACCCAACCTCTTGAGCCATCACCGCTGCTACCCAGGTTGCACATTAGCAGGAAGGTGGAATCTAGAGCAGGGCTGGACTCAGACCCAGGGACTCCAATAGGAGGTGCAGGAGTCCCAAGTGGCTTCTTAACTGCTGTGCCAAATGTTTTCCCTCAGTTTTCATTTCAGACATTGCTCAATCTCTCTCAAACTGGGGATCTTAGTGTCATCTTTAGTTTTTCCTTCTCTTTTATTTCCTATTAACTCATCAGACCTATTTAAAAATGATCTTCAATCTGCCCCTCCTTTTCCACCTTTATTGTCAAAGGATTATCATATGCCTCTCCTAATCCCTCCTATTTATCATCACTCTGAAATTTTAAGAACACCCAATTTCATCTGGTGATCCTTAATTTAAAAACAAAAATCCCAACACCACCACCAAAGATACCCAAACACTTCAACAACTTCCCAGTGTTCAATGGCTATTCCGTGGCACGGAGTTCAAGATATTCTAATTGTGTCATCATTTATTATTACCCCCTCTCCACACCTTTTTTTCAACCAAGGTCACCTATCACCATCCTCTTAATATACCAGACTCAATCAGTCCCCATGTTTTGATCACACTTTCTATGAGGTAAACATTTAAAAATAGTCATTTTTGAAGATTAATTATATTCACATTTGAGGATTATACATTATTCAAGATCAAAATGAAGTTTCTTCCCTTCTAGGTCTTCCTCTACTATTTCTTGGCTTCCTTCTGTTTTAAACTTCCATGAAACTGTCTATTCCATCCATTTGGCCAAGGTCATGCTCTACTTGAAATTTAACCCGATTCTTCCACATTTCTCTTAGGTGTTCATGCCCTGTATCAAATAAACAGTAACTTCCTGGTGAAGGTTACTCAAGGAATTTTTTAGGCTGATTTGTTCTTCAATCAAGTTATTAACTACTAATTAGTCAAACCCATAAGCATGTAAATTTATGTTGCACGGGGCAGACGTTTGGCAGGCATCTTAGGCCTGCATCCCATATTGGAGTGTCTTGGAGTCTCAGTTCCTTCACTTCCTATCCAGCTTCCTGCTAACATGCATCTTGTGGATAGTAGATACTCAAGTGCTTGGGTCCCTGCTACCCACATGGGAGACTCTATTACTAGAGTATAAACTTACTTTATACATAAGATGCCTGTCCTGAATTAACAGGACTATATTCTCCTATTGCTGTTATATTACAATATATGTATGTATTTTGGTTTTGTTCATGCTTCCAGTCTCATAATTCTCATACCCCTTGTTACTGCCTAAATGAAAGCCTATGCCCTTTTGTCCTTGGTTCCTGAAGCAGCTTCAGAGCAATAAAGGTCAAAATATAGTAATGTTGGGGTGCTTTAGGCCTTGGAAGAAAAATCTTCCTGAACCTGTCTTACTCTCAACTGCTTTTTCTTCCCAAGGTAGGTCACAGAAACTAGAATTTCTCTTCCCTAAGGTGTGCCAAAGTATAAAAATATACTCTAATGTCCTCCCACCCCCCTTTCTGTCTTATAGCTGGCCATAAAAAACTTCTATGACCTATCTTGCCTGAAAGTAGATCATGAGACTCCCATTCCAGAAGGGTTCTTGCCCCATACTTAGGAGGAACACATGCTGCACAGAGAGCCCAAGAGGAATCTGGACAGACAGGCCTTGCTGGGTTTTCCCAACCTAGTTCATTAGCATTAGACACACTCCTTCCGTCCAGTCACATTTCTGCACTGTTGTCCAGGCTTCAATCAAATTTATGCAGTGAAGTTTCCATAAAAACCCTGACAGACAGGGTTCTCAGAGCTTCTGGACACTTGAGCCAGAAGTCACCCATATGTACCCCATATGCAACCCAGACCCACAGGGACAGAAGCCCTTGCACTCAGGACCTTTCTAGACCTTGGCCCACATCCCACATCTCTCTTCATCTGGCTGCTTATTTGTACCTTTCAAAATATCCTTTATAATCAACTGGTAAACAGTGTTTCTCTGAGTTCTATGAGCCACTTTGGCAAGTTAATCAAGCCTAAAAAGGGGGCTGTGGGAACCCCAACTGGTAGCCAGCTGGTCAGAAGATCTGCAGGGCTAGACTTACAACTGATGTTTGAAGTAGGGGCAATCTGGTGGGATGGGGTCCTCAAACTTGTGGGATCTGATGTTCCCTTCAAGCAGTGTCAGAATTAACTGGAGAATGCCCAGTGAGGGTCCACTACAGAACTGATCACTTGCTTGCTGGTGGAAACCTCCACATACTTTGGGACCATAGAGTTATCTGTGTTGTGAGTGCATAGCAGAAGAAATTAAATTAGTTTTTCTTCTATAGGCTCAGAATCACCATTTAATAATCTTACGAATTTATTTCTGCATATGAATAACAGTTGCTATTTGGGAGTAGAAAGGTGACATTATTTTCTCCCTTGCTTCATTATTTTCTATTTCTGAACTTAGGAGAGTATGGCCCTATTACCTCAAAATAAAAAGTCAATGAATTAATTTATGAATACTGAAAACAAGAAAATTTTAAATGTCAACGAACAATTCTGTGAAAATACGTTATAATTTATTTTATATTTTTGGACTTCAAAAATCTTTATCTGTAAAACGTGGACATATGAAAGAGAAAGTAACTGGGTCCTTTCAGAAGTTGTGGTACCAGCACCTTAAAAATTAGCTGAAAAAGATCTTAGAACCAGCAGAACACTCATTAATGATGAAATCTGTCCAAGTACTGAATACAAAGACTTAGTGACAGCATAACATTCAGCTTTGCATATGGGTGCTGTTTCGAGTCCCAGCTGCTATACTTCTGATCCAGCTCCCTACTAACAGCCTGAGAAAAGCAGTGGAACATGACCTAAGTATCTGGGTCCCTGCCACATACATAGGATACCTGGATGAAGCTCCTGGCTTGCGGCTATCTGGCGAGTGAACGAGTGGATGGAAGATTTCTGTCTCCCTCTCTCTTTCTAACTTTTTCAAACTAAATAAATAATAAAAATGCCAAAATTTTAAGAAAGTATATGTTAATTTAGGATGTTATGTATATTTTCCTGGACAAATCAGTACTTTTTAAAACTTACTTATTGGAAAGGCACAGTGATAGAGAAAGGTGGGGGGTGGGGGCCTGTGGCATAGTGAGAAAGCCTCTGCCTGCAGTGCCAGCATCCCTTATGGGAACCGGTTCTAGTCCTGGCTGCTCCACTTTGAATCCAGCTCTCTGCTATGGCCTGGGAAAGCAGTGGAAGACGGCCCAAGTCCTTGGGCCCCTGCACTCACATGGGAGACCTAGAAGAAGCTCCAGGCTTCTGGCTTCAGATCAGCTCAGCTCTGGCCATTGCGGGAGTGAATCAGTGGATGGAAGACCTCCCTCTCTCTGACTCTACTTCTCTGAAACTCTGCCTTTCAAATAAATAAATAAATCTTTAAGAGAGTGAGAGAGAGATAAAGACCGATTGTCTATCCACTGACCTCCCCTCAAATGACTGCAACAGACTGATTTGAAGCAGGCCAAAGCCAGGAGCCAAGAACTCCATCCAGGTCTCCAGTATGCATGGCAGGGGCCCAAGTATTTGAGACATCATTTTCTGCCTTCTCAGGCATAAAAGCAGGAAGCTGTATCAGAAATGAAACAGCTGGGACTCAAATCGGCACCCTGATACAGGATGCTGGTGTCACAAGTGGCAATTTAACCTGATGTATAACAACGCTGACCCCCTACCCCTTGCCAATAAACAGTAAATTTTTAAGAGGTAGAGATACTGACATCTTTCAAATGTTTATACATCTCACCCAACATTAGCCTGTAGTACAGAGTAATCCATATAAAAACACAATATTCATTAAGAAACAAATAAGTATCATGAGATAAAAAAACTAGCTTGAATATAATTAACTGAACCCATAGACTATCTTCCTTTATTTGTTAGGACAGCTAAAGAATTTAGGATAGAAACTCTTTTCAACCTATACCCTTAACCCAGCAATTACATTTTAATAAAATAATTCTAATTGCTAAATACTAAATTAAAACATTAGAATACTTTCTTAGTTATCTACAGTTTACTTAAGTTGTTAGTTTCCTAAGCTGATTTGTTTTTGTAAGCTCCACAGTGTCAAAAGAGTTCAATAATAGATTTATTAGTCATATAATTTATACATAATTAATATAAACATTATTTCTCTAAAGAAACTTAAAATATACCTTCAATGTAGCCAAGTTCTAATCTTAAAAAGAGGAAGCACTCAATTAGTTTTCTTCTTAGTTCATTTCTCCAGAAGACCAGACCGTAAGGACTTCTGGAGTCTAGCTATGTTGGCATCCAATGCCGCAAGGCCATTTCTGAAGTCTTGTTCATCAAGAGACGTGAATGTTGAGAAAGAAGAGATGCTCCAGTCAGACATCAAGTCAGAATTGAGAACACTGCCATCACAGGCAGTGCTGCCTTTCACTCGAATGCTGCTTTTGTGACAAGCTGAAGGGCCCTGACAGGTAGCCTCTGGATCCTCCCTGGCAACAGGGATCTTACCAATTGCTTCCTTTATTTTCTTCAGGAGCTGTTTGTCCTCCGTATCAGCTGTTCTGGAAAGTTTTTCATGTGCATCTTCTACTTCTTGTCTTGACGAACAAGTTACTGCATGTGCACACAGTTTCTTTTCTGTTTCAGAGACAAGTCCACTGTTGCCGACGAGTTGTGTGATAGCAACACTCATCTGCGGCTGGGGGGACAGTCTCTTTGAAAGTGGTGAATTCATTTTAGAAGTGCTTCTAACAAAAGGAATGTAAACTGTACTATCCAAGTTACATTCATCTTCTATTACAGTCAAAGTTTCATTCTCTGCATCTGAATCCTGCTTTGAAAGGGCAGAAATAATTCCAGACGCAGGTTCTTCTTCCCTGCCGCTAGTGTTTCTAGGTTGAGGGCCTTTTGATGGCAGAACATTTTCATAAGGTCTATCTGGCTCTGTCGTTTCCTCATTTTTAATTGTAGACAGTGGTTCCAAATGTGCAACACTGTGATTTGTTTCTAACTTATTTAGGTAGCTCATTATGGAAGTGTGAGCAGGGGCTGGATCATGCTGAAGTTGTCTATCATAAATGTTCAGAAGTGATTTGGTGAGGTTATTCCCAGACTTGCAGCGCGCACTGTCCACACTAAGATCTGAGAGCAGCTTGGCCATACTGTTCTGTAAGGTTCTGTTAAGGGAATTTAGCACACCAATTATTTATTTCAACCTGTTTCTTTCATACACACACATTGCTAAAGAAAGGATCTGAGGCAAGTGTCTGGTTCTCAACAAGAAAACAAGCAACTAAAAAAGCAAAACATAACCAAATAAACTTTAGCAAGAGTAAATTAAAAATGACGAATGATTTGGTCTGCATCAAGTTTAATATTATATCTAGAAGTAGAGACTCAGAATGGTCCCTCATCCTCCAGGTATGAAAATGCTTTCTTCTTAGACAACACTACAAAGTGAGTCTTTAAGTGAAAGCCTAATATAGCTAGGGCTAAGATGTAAAGCAAAATGGAAAAGTCTATTAGAAACTAAATCATTTTTTTCTACTCAAAAAATATATGCCAAGAATACTTGAGTGGTTAGCAATAATTATCTTTTTTTTTTTTGAAAGATTTATTTATTTATTTGAAAGTCAGAGTTACACAGAGAAAGAAGGAGAGGCAGAGAGAGGTCTTCCATCCGCTGGTTCACTCCCCAATTGGCTGCAATGGCAGGAGCTGGTCCTACCTGAAGCCAGGAGCCAGGAACCTCCTCCAGGTCTCCCACGTGGGTGCAAGGGCCCAAGGACTTGAGCCATCTTCTACTGCTTTCCCAGGCAACAGCAGAGAACTGTATAGCTAGTGGAGCAGCCGGAACTTGAATAAATGCCCATATGGGATGCTGGCACTGCAGGCGGCAGCCTCACTCGCTACACCACAGCACTGATAATTATCTTTTATAATTAGGTATAAGCAATAGCTCATCACCAGAAGTGTGATAAAAAGAAAACCACAAAAGGTTTGAAAAAAGAAAGAAATGGAAATCTACTGCCAACAACAGCTGTCACCTTGGGTAAGTCATTTAACCTTTCTGAATCCCCATCTCAACCATAAAATGTAGATACTACTTCACACTTAGAATGATTAATTAAGTCAACAAAAGATATAATGGTAAAATGCTTAGCACAGTTTCAGCATAAGCAGGTATTTATTTGATGGCGGTTTTTATGAATGGACTCGTAAAGCCATTTTGCACCAAGTCTTTAGTCTATTTGAATTGAATCATACATGTTCACACAAATTAATGAGAAAAAGATAAATACCAGTTTCTAAAAGATATACAGGGCACCAACAGGTAGTTAATAAAAAATTACAACCAGATACCAGCAGTTTTTAAAAAGATAAATGGAATATCATAGGTAATTAACAAAAAATTACAACCAGAAAATAAGAATGTTTTAAGAATTCAACTTTTAACCAAATAAAATTAAATTTTTTAAAAAATTTTATTTTATTTATTTGAGAGACAGACTTACAGAGAGGGGTAGAGCTAGAGCCAGAGAGAGGGAGAGGTCTTCCATTGGCTAGTTCACTCCCCAAATGACTGCAATGGTCAGAGCTGAGCTGATCTGAAGCCAGGAGCTTCTTCCGGGCCTCCCACGATGGTGCAGGGGCCTAAGGATTTGGGCCATCTTCTATTGCTTTCCCAGGCCACAGCAGAGAGCTGAATCAGAAGTGGAGCAGCCAGGATTCAAACCGGTGCCCATATGGGATGCTGGCACTACAGGCCGGGGCTTTAACCTGCTTTGCCATAGCACTGGTCCCAAGTTAAATTTTAACAACACTTTTTTCCTTCATCAAATTAACATAATAAAATAAGAATAATCTCACTGTTAGGGAAGCTTGGAGATTCGGGTACTGCTAATAGGATTATAAACCAGTATAATTCTTCTAGAGAACAAATGGGCAATTTATGTCAGAAGCCTTAGATTTGCACATTCCACCTCTGTGATCCACCTGTTTTCACTTCTGGGAGTTTATCCTACTGACACACATATATATTTACAAAGATTTTATAATAGAAAATAGATGGACAAATCTTTTTTTTCAAAAAAGTACAATGATCTAGGTAAATTATTGCCTAATAACATCATAGCCATTCAGTCATGTTGCAAAGAATATTTACTGAGGGAAAAATGTTCATTATATACAGACATTAAAAAGAGTAGGCCATAAAGTAATAAGATACGATACTATTTTTGTAATAATACTAGCTTTGTAAAAATGGTAACAGGAAAATACTAAAAGCAAATATCTAAACAGCTAGTAATAATTATATATCTGGTATAGAATTGGGGGAAATTTTACTACCAATCTGGCTTTTACACTGTCACCTTAAACATGCTGTATTCTGATTTCAGATTGCTTTTCAAATGGCAATGGCTCTTCTAATAATGCCTCTCCTACCTCTTTTGAAGAACATAATGAGAATGATATCAGCAAGGTGGCTATACAAGAGTTTCCCAGTTCCTGGCCTCCTCACAGAATTCCAACTAGCAACTATCTTCGAACAAGAATATCTTCATGAACATCCCAGAACTCAGGAATGAGGCTGGGACACTCTTGAACCACAGAACTGAGAAAAGCTGCATTAGAATAAGAGGGGAGCCAGTTCAAGTCCTGGTAGCTCCACTTCTTGTCCAGCTCTCTATGGCCTGGGAAAGCAGTAGAAGATGGACCAAGTCCTTGGGCCCCTGCACCTGCATGGGAGACTGGGAGGAGGCTCTTGGCTCCTGGCTTCGGATAAGTGCAGCTCTGGCCATTCCATCATCTGGGGAGTGAACCAGCAGATAGAAGATCTCTCTCTGTCTGTCTCTGCCTCTCTGTAACTCTGCCTTTGTAATAAATAAATAAATCTAAAAAAAAAAGCAAAGGATAGAAAAATATTCCATATAAATGGAAATCCAAAGAGTGGGGGTACTTACACTTATATCAGACAAAATATATTAAGTGAAAAACCATTAAAAAAGGCCATTATATAAAGTTAACTCATCAAGAGAACATATCTATACATATGTACACCCAACACCAGAGTACCTAAATATATAAAATAATCATTAAATGATCAGAAGAGATAGAATATAACAGAATAAACCTCAATACCCCACTTTCACAATGGACAGATCAGCTAGACATAAAAACAATAAGGAAACATTGGACTTGAATTACACTTTAGATCAAATGGATATAAAAGATATATATATATATAGAACATTCCATCCTACAGCAAGGGTATACACATTCTTCTCTGTGCACACAAAACATTCTCCAGGATAGATCATACATTAGGCCACAAAACACATCATAAGAGGTAGGCATTTGGTGCAGTGGAAAGATGCCAGGTGGGACACCCACATCCCATATTAGAGTGCCTAGTGCTTGGGTTCTAGTCTTGGCTCCACTTCCAACTCCAGCTTCCAGCTAATTTTGCATCCTGGGGGGTACCAAGTGATGGCTCAAGTACTTGGGTCCTTGCCACCCATGCGGGAGGCTAGGATGGAGTTCTCAGCCTCTGGCTTCAGCCAGGCTGAGCCCTGCTATTATAGGCATATGGAAAGTAAATTAGGAGTGAGAAGATAGCTCTTCCTCACTTTCTGCCTCTCATTAAAAAAAAGAAAAAAAAGAAAAATACATGTCTAAGCAAACTTAAGATTGAAATCATATAAAGTATCTTTTCTAATCACGATAAAACTAGAAATCAGCATGAGAATTCTTAGAAAATTTACAGAGATGTGAAAATTAAGCAGCATGATCATGAACAACAAATGGGTAAAAGAGGAAATCAAGGGGGAAATAAGAAATATTTTGTGGCAAATGAAAATATAATAAAACTTATGGGATATAGGAAAGTAACTTAAAGAGGAAAATTTATAGCTATTAAAGAGGAGAAAAATGTTAAATAAGCAATCTAATGTTACACCTCAAGGAACTAGAAAAGTATGAACAAACCAAGCCAAATGTTAGAAGTCAGGAAATAATAAACATCAGAGCAGAAATAAATGAGAGACTAGAAAAACAATAAAAAAGAAATCAACAAAACAGTTTTTTTCCCCACAAAATCAATAAACCTTCAGCTTGATTTAATAGGGCAAAAAATGCAACTAAGGTCAAAAATGAAAGAGAAGACATTATAAGTGACATCATAGCAATGCAAAGGATCATATGAAACTACTATCCACAAACTGGATAAAGTAGAAGAAACAGATAAATTCTATAACACATATTATTTAAAAAGACTCAATCATGAAAAAACAGAAAAGCTGAATAGACCAGATAAGGATACTAAATCAGTAACAAAGTCTCCCACCAAAGAAAAGGATCTGATGGCTTCAGAGCTAAATTCTATCAAACCTTTTAAGAAGAACTAATATTAACATTTCTCAGACTCTTCAAAAAAATTGAAATAGAATTTTTCCAAACTCACTTTATGATATCAGCATTATATCAAGGCCAGAAAGGGGTACAAAAAAATAAAATAAAATAAAATAAAAAGGCCAATACTCCTAATGAACAATGATGCAAACATCTTCAACAAAATACTAGCAAACTGTACTCAGTAATGCATTTAAAAAAGTCATTCACCATGATCATGTGGTATTTAACTCTGGAATACAAGAATGACTCAATATGGGTAAACCAATGAATGTGATGTCACATTAACAAAATGAAGAATAAGAGCCATATAATCATCTCAATAGATGTAAAACAAGCATTTGACAAAATTCAATAACCTTTCACAACAACAAATAGAGGCTATAGAGGAAATGTACCTAAACAATATAGGCCACACACATATGATAAGCCTAAACATAACATTAAACTTAATGGAGAAAAGCTGAAACTCTTCATCTAGCACCGGGAACAAGAAAAGGATGTCTACTGTCACCACTTCTTTTCATCTCAGGACTAAAAGTTCTAGCCAGAGCAATTCAGCAAGAGAAAAAAAAACACAGGTGCTCCTTGACGTATAATGAGGTTACATCCTGATAAATCTAAGTTGAAAATATCATAAGTTGAAAATACATTTAATACGTCCAACAAATCACATGTGAATCACTGTTAAGCTCAGATGCTCCTCAAGCTAAGATGGAGCTATATGATCATTTTGGAAAAACAATAAAAAAGAAATCAACAATTT